TTTGTTATTAGTTTATTACATTATAAATCTCCCACGTCTATCTTTTATTCATTAAATCATAATCTTCCATATTTCCAATAACATCCTTATTGTTCGATGAACTCCGCCATCACCATGTACACCACCATGTACATCCTCTATTATTCCACTTCCATCCGCTTCATTATACTCATACTTTCAAATAATCTTCAATATTAATTATAGAGTCTTTAACAAGTTTACCATTTAATGATCGTTGTACAATCTCTGGACCTCTATCTAATGAGAATACAGGTTCTCCCACTGAATTGGTAGCCAACATCACTCTGATATTTCAGTTTCGAGTGATGATTCGTGTTTCCCCACCGATGAAAAGAAATTATGAACGTTCGATCGTTGATGTTAAAAGTAATCTTCTGTTAAATTATTGTAAAAATTTGGACTACCATAATCAACTATTCCACCTTCTCCATTGTCATTTATATATTCTTCTGTCTTATAGAAATCTGGAATTGATGATGACGTTGTTATCTTATGCTTTCATGATTTGATGTAGGTGTGAAAGAAATGGCATACTACTTATTTTGTTGTCATCATCATTGACAATGATTTCTTTGTGGACTCTGAGAAAAAATCGGGTTTTCTATTTTTTGGGTTTATTATTATTATATATGTTCTGATGAAAGTTATTATCGTGAATAACTTAGTAACTAACATAATGCTAATACTAGAATTGGAATTATTTCTAGTAGTACTATGAAATGTTGGCATAAAATCTACTAGATAATTGATTCTGTAAGTGAATGAAAAAATTATAGTATATGAAAATCTATAAAAGAAAGGGCAATGATTATAAACCTTAACAAAATTGCAAATTGAGATACGCCTTCAACAATCAAAATAAACACGTTTCGAAAACAAATAATTTTCTTGTTTTCCACAGAAAAGGTGCGCTAAATGCTGAAATTCCTGCAACTCTTGATGCCATAAAATTTAAAATATCTGAATCTAATCTAGCAGTTTTTGAATAGAATATATAGATCGCCCCTACTTTTTATGTCGATTATTGTGGCGCAGATCCCTGATTCACAAATCGGATTTCAAGAATCAGGTGTAATGTGTAATGTAACACGATCATGAATCGCTTATTTCTCAAGAATCGGTTTAAAAACCACCTT